TTTTTCAAAAATCTGTTGGAAACTTTTTTTTGTTGCTGTTGTAGGCCAACTCTGGGCTGGCCAATTGTAATGAGAGCTCAGCAGCTAACAAATGCGTTTTGTATATTTCTGTGCATAAATTATTTTTAGAACAGCAACAATACTAATGGAATCATGTGTAAGACAGATAATAGGCTACTGCTTCAAAAATAAATGTCTTGGTCTTGCTCTACCATTAACACTAATGTCTTCATATTTGCCTCTCAGCAGCTGACCAGTTGCAATGTCTAACTCCAGTAAACTGAGGCGTGAGAAAAGGCTTCTGATTACATATTTGGTGTACACTTGCATATCTAGAAGACAAACCCCATCCTAAAACCAGACCAGTAACTGCTTATGTCTCTGACAAGACATGTACTGCGACTAGAAGAACCTCTGGCTAGCAAAGAAAAAAGCAACATACAGGGGTGTTGCCACCTCTTTCCCAGCACTGTAAACACCCACTGCAAATCCCAAATGAAGTCCCCCAGGTTGAATCCTGTCAAGTAGTTATTAATTTCCAGAATTGTACTAATCTGTTAATTTTCATTGTTTGCTTGAAATTCTGGTACACTGTAAACAGCAGACTGAAGACAAGTGAGGCAGTAACAATTTATCTACTCCTTGGGATAACCAAGGAAGGTGAATAATAACATGAAGGTTTAATTGAATTTGAATTTCAGAGGTTATTTCAAAAATAACTGTGGTCATCCAAGAGCTTCCAAACGATAACTTTGATCCTGTGGGCTAGGCTGTCTCACAGTAATGCTGTTGTGAGTTAGACAAGTCAGACAAGACCTCATATGATTTGGGAGTGCACATTTCACAGTTAAGTGTAAATTTAGTTTGAACTTTTTAAAAAACTCTTCAACCACTTCCACTTCAGAGGATATTAGAGACTCTTCAAATGCTGAGAGTTCCATCTTTAACATACTCCTAACTGGTTTCACATCCACCTGACACTATCCTCTGCTGCAGTAATTCTTCTCCTCCACCTTTGCATTACCAGATAAATATACTAAGTTGGTTTTTTTTAGTCTGTTGCATTCAAGCTTTCAATTTCCTATATTCTTTTCCCTACCTATGTAAGTTTGTAATCTATCATCTTTGACAATGGGGTGACAAAAATCATGTACCACTGTACTGCTCCAGGTATAGTATCACTCTGCCTTACAGAAATAAATAGTATTTCTCTGTTGTCCTTCACACAATACATTCCAGTAATATATTGTCTTCTCATAGGCATATCACAATTCACCAACCAATACACTCATGTTTCTCCCTGTTGTTTCAAACTGTAACCCCTTGCCTTATCAAAGATTACTCTGAGACTCCAAAATGCAGTCTTCCTCTCTACCAGTCCCTCCATGTCTGTACTAATAACAACTGTTCTGGTTTACCTAATAAATTCCTAAAGGCACTACAGCAATGGCGTTACAGAGTTTCAGGTAGATTGCCTTTATTGTACTTCCCTTGTTAAAGGAAACCACAGCTTTTCTCTTATGAATGGAAGAAATGAGATCATTTGCTCACAGCCCACCTTTGGTAAACATGTATTATTTTATTCAATTCCATGTTTACTCCCTATTCTCTATTCTTTCCCTCCTTATTAATTCTTTTACCTCATATAGCGTTAAAAGATCAGACTAACTGAACAATTTTTACCTCTCTTACATATAATACATCCTTCTTATATTCCAATTACATAGCTCCACCTCTCTTTATAGATAGAGTCATTAAAAGCCTCACTATCAGACTTGTGATATCATGCCTTGTCATCTCAGGATGAGAGGAGCTAGCCAGCATCAAATAAATCACATTAAGCTCCTTGCAGTTTGCTTCTACCTCAGATACTGTTATTTCTATGCTCACAAAACTATATGAGGAGGGTCATCCTGGATCAGACCAAGGGTATCTCTGGGCCTTAATCCTCTCTGCAGTCAGAGCCCTAAGCAGATGACTCAGAGAAGTAAGAATATGACAAGCAGATACAACACTTCTGCCTAGTTCTCTGCTTCCAACTACTTTCAGCTCAGAAAATTTAATGTAATTCTTATTTGGTGTTCTGTGTTCTCCATGTTCTGTTTGCTGCCTTTACTGAAAACTGAGGAAAAGTTTCAAATATACATCACTGCCTTCAGATGTAGCACATCCCCTTCTCTCTAGGTACATTTGAGTGACAGACATACTGAGATTTACAAGAGTCCCTCATCACGGTCTAGAGGCAAATACTTTCTGTCATTCCAGTTTCTATCCACTGATATTCTTCTTTGTATTATCATCCTTCCTTCTGCTGGAATCCCTGGTTATCTCCATTCTTTTTTCCATTGGCTGCCTCGCTCTTCTGTTTGCCAAACCATGTCTTCCTTGACCTTTCTCCATATTCTTCTGTGCAGTGCACAACTTCATTCTACTTTTTTTTCTCTTTTTCTCCTCTCCTATGCTTTCTTCTCTCCTTTCTGCCTCTGGCCACATTCTTCCATGGATCATGTTCTTCCTCTCTCAGTCATCTGTTCTCTCTTATTGAATACCAGTACTGTTTTCTTTTTTCATTCATTGTGTTTTCAAATCCTCATCTGACTCCTACCATCATCTCCAGATGTGGCTCTAGCTGTAGGATCTTCTCTTTCATGGCCTCTTACCACAAGTGGTACACCTCTGATAATATCCACTCATTTTCTCTTCTTCTTCCCTTTGGATTGAATCCTCCAGTCATACCTCAGTAGCTATCACAGTCTTTTACTTCCTAGTGCCTATCTTGATGGAAACAATGGTGGAAATTCTAGCCATTGCATCCTTGATCCAGATCAGTCACATGTCCTGCTTGATGTTCCACAGTTCCTCTTCAGCAGTGACCAAAGCCAGTGTGTCCTCAGAAAGCTCTGTTTCAGTTACCATGTGTGGTCCAAAGTGTGTAACCTGTGATTTGGAAGCTCCCAGAAACCCAGTCTCCATTTGCTGCTGACTTGAGACCAGAAATACACATTCTGATGGCATTGAGCTTTGATTTCCATAGACCTACACAAGACTAGATGTAAAGCCCATTATAAATCTGATTCTAGCCTTGGATTACTGCAGGCTGCATTTTTCCAGTTAATGACTGGAAAATTCAGCATGTTTTTCATACACTGGAAGCTGGTCTACCAGCCTCACAGAGGGTCTCACTTTGGGGGACTAGCTCATAAACAAGCTTTCCCTTGGATTTTTTCAATGTATTGACTTCCTGGCTTCTTTGCAAGTGCCCTGGAAAGTGCTAAGAGTGAAAAACAAAGCACCAAAGAAAGTGATCACAAGAGCCAGCTTCTCACTACTGCCAGTGGAGCATGCAGAGGGTTTTTTACTGTATGGTTTCATTAGTAGAATTTTTATTCTTTTTCATTATCAACTTGTAGCATTCCACCCATTAAGCCCATATGCATATCACAGACTTCAGTCTTAATTCTCCGATATATTCTCAGGTGAGAAAGGTTTTTTAGTTTTAGAAAGGACTGTGAATTGCAGTGCACTATTAATAAGAAGAAACCTGTCAGAACATGTTCCTGATCTGTTTTTACTATAAGGCTTTTGATAGAATGGTGCTGATGGGGTAGTTAAGCCAAATAAATCCTCTACAGTTGAATCAGTCATATGGTATGAAAGTGTTAAAGACACTTTCAGGAGCCAGCTTCAACTACATAGATAAATCTTAGTTACACCAATACATCTACACCTGTTTGAGGGGCAAGCAAAGGATTGAATTCCAACTTCTTGTGTCATAGTTCTCAGTGCATTTTGCTCCATTCAGTATAGAAATTATTTCAGTTTGTCTTCTAAATGGAATAGCTTAGACTGGCTGGGTTAAAAGAACCACCTACAATTCTGTACAGCTTGGATTCTGTTAAACCATAATAGAAATTTCCTGAAACATTTCAGAACATGAAGAAAATATTTCAGGGTTGCCCCATTGTATTCTCATTGCTTGAAGCAGGTTGAGGTTTTTGAAATGGGGATATTGTCACTTTAAGGAGTGGACTGTGGCATCTCTGCACTTGTAGGCTACTCCTCATAGAGCAGCTTGGATTAGGAGTCTGTATCACCCTCATGGCAAGATCACACCAGCTTGGAGCTTGGCAGGAGTTATGATACCTGCTACTCTGAGAAGCCAGACTAATGGAAGCTACTCCAGTTCAGCAGCCCTTGCCATCCCCTCTGCTACTCCATAGGACTGAGTGGCCAACCTCCTCTTGGGATGATCACATCATAACAACTGAGGTATCACCATGCTGTGTAACTACTGACCATGTCTCAGCACTTTGAACACTGGAGAGAGATGCTTCTGTCCCTTTCTACTAAATCAATCCTGCAAATTAGGTCATGGCTCCCAGAATCATAATTTGATTTTAAGTAGGTAGGCTTTGATTTTAAAGAGTTATTAACTTTAATATAAATTCTCTATTATTTACTATTTATAGGGATATAAATAGAAAATATGTGAGTTACAATTCTGTAACGTTATCATTAAACCAATAAAAACTAGTGAAATATGTTTCACTACAGTACTTTAGCTACATTTTGAAAGAATTGTAAATTTCTTTGCCTTTAGGATTACAAGATTTTACTTAAAACGTCTTTTCTTTTCTTTGAAAAGTCACACAATGTTTCTAATTATTTAATTTTTCTATACCTTCCACACTAATAAAAAATGAGACAGAAACATCATAATGCACAAAAGAAAAAAGAAAGCAGTAAATCTCACTTGGAAATCATGTTTGAAGACAAGATTATGGCTTCACACTACTTCGTATTCCCAGAAAAAGTACAGCAAAATGGAAATCCTGTTTTGGAAATACAGTTCCTAGCACAAAATAATGTTTGCATTTTTTAGGGTTGTTACTTTCCAACTGAGACAACTAGCCAGCATGGGTTGCTAAATTACCTAACTTGCATTATGGGTTCATCCAACACCACTCTGAACAGGCTTCTTGCAACATTATGAAATGTACCTGTAACTCCAGGAAAGTCGACTTTCTTACTTTCTTCTTCTCCTCTTCTTTCTTTCCTGTCTGAGCTTGTGTTTTTTGAAGCTCCTCCACATATGCATCATAGATCTCCCACTGAGATAGACAGAGGCAGGATTTGTCAGAATTAGATGACACTCCAGAAAACAGCCATCTACACCATCACAAAAACACAATAGCCCTTACAACAGTAACACTGCCACTGGAATCTGCTGAAGAGAGATGTCTTGTTGCAGAAAAAAAGTGAGAGATTGAAGCCCAGGATTTTTAAAGCTTGATGGGGCATGTCTTACTTTTTAAGAACACATTATTGCATTCTCAACAGTTTCCTTCCTCCAGCACTCTTCTTGGTGCTTAGATTCCATCTCATTTATGTAGGACTTTCTGTTTCACTAATTTACCAGTGTTTAATAGGAAACATGCATGAAACATCTGCTTTATGACATTTATAACATCATGTGGTGATGGAAAGTTCAATTGTAGCTGCTTAACACAATTTAAATCTTGGAGTCCAGCTCTGCAGCATATCATCAAGTGGAAACTGAGAGCAGATTTACATCTTCTGCTATGACACATGCCAGGAGTGTCAAGTAGAACAAAAAGTAACTTTTCTATTTAAGAAGCATCCATTATTATTGGAGTGCTAGTACTGTATCTGAAGCAGGTGCATTACTTTCAGGACAAAACAAAAGGCAATCAAATTCTGACACATCAGCTTAGGACAGAGAGTATGACTCAAACACAAAATACAGATTTGGACATTGCAATAAGGAAAGGTAGCAGAAACCTCTAACCAAAAAACCCTACATTGCAGACAGAATGAAGGTGGAAAGATGTTCCAAATGTCAAGGAAAGAACAAAGATGTGATGAGAAGAGTAGGAGAAGAGGCAGAACAGAAAACTTTGGAAGAGGAAATTATGAGCATAAGGAAGAACAAGAAGGAAAAAGGGTTAAGGAAAAAAAAAAAGAGCTTATATTAAAATGCTATTTTTTATACATTCATTTTTTTTTTCCACAGAGTAAAAAAAGAAAACAAGGGAAAAGCTTTTCTCTTAGCTACAGCATATTTCCCATGTAAAATGTCATGCAAAATAGTATTTTTTACATTTTTAAGGGACTGCAGAAATACCGTATAACAATTGTGGAACAGCTCTTTATAATGAATAAACAGGCACATTCTCACTACATAAAACAGAGCTAAGTCTGTGGCAACAGGTTTAAAGTGGGCCTTCCACATCCCTTATGCTGTAGTTCTCACTGGGTTCAGCTCCAGGCTTTAGAAACCTGCTTTTGCATACAACTAAATTTAGACAAAGTCAAAGAACACTATACATCGATATATATTTGCATATATCAAAATCTTAACAATACTCCCAAAAACTCCATGAACTCTGGTAAATTCCCAGTAAATAACCAGCTCATCCCACCACACAGTGATGGAAGATCTTCAGCAGCAGGACAACCCCCACCCTAAGGACAGCTGCATTGCCAGAGGAGTCAATTGCCTCCCTGCTTCTGCAGAGCCCAGCTGCAGCCCACCTCTTGTTGAGTACAGAACCGTTCTCCTGAGATTTCCCCCTTTCCATTAATTTAAGACTCTGAAAAGCAGACTGGCAAGGGTTGTTGGCAAGTGACAGACCTATTACAAGCAGCTAAACTGAGACTTTTGACCTTAGAAATACAAACCATTATCAAGTTCACCCATTAAGGCAGAAAAGAGGGCCACACTAGTTTGCTCTCAGAATTAAACCAGAGATCAAAGCCACAGTATGGGAGTGCCTTCCACTGCAAGAAATGCAAGCATAGTAATCTTATTTTTCCTTTATCCTATCTCAGTTTCCTAAATATCCTCTAAAAAGCTTTGAAAGTAAAATGGACATACCTGGTTAGCATTGGCTGAGAAATCTTTACAAGGTCTAGGTTCTAACTGACATGCTCTTTCCTGAAAAAAGAAAAAAGCATAAAGAAGTGCAATCTTTGCATTTAAACTCTTTGCAGTGACAAAGATGAGCTGTGGAAATAGCCTTCTCCTAGCAGGTAATTAGAATAATATTTATCTAAGATTAATCCAACATCCAAATGACTCCCAGAGAGCTGCACAAACATTATTGGTGATCATGCACCTATAAATAGAATTTCTTGTGGACCAAAAGGAGATTCATAAGGCAATCTGATTTTTTTCCAACATAATATAAATATTTAATTTCAGTATTTAATTTTGAAGGAATTAAATTGTTTGCTTCTTGTCTACCATTTGAAACATTCTGCAACCAGTTATGGCATCAGTTATGATATCCTACCAAATCTGAAAAGTTTTGAACTATATATTAAAAACCCACTTGAGAACAGCAGCCAAAACAAAGGAGTGGAGTAGAATGATAACCTATAAACATTGATTTGATGTTACTGAAATAATATTTTTATCATCTTTACATCAACATTCTGAAACAAATTAATATATTTCTGTGAAGCTTTCATTTCATGGAATAGCATTTTCTTTCAAAAAACCCTTGTGTCAGGACATTTTTAAGAGGCAGCCTCAGGGGTGGAAGCTGTGCATTCTGTACAGCACACAGCAGTACTTTACAGCTATTTAAGGTCTATGTTCTGCTTTCTGAGGCAGAATTGCACAAAGGAACACAAGTCTCTCCCAGTGAAATCAATAAGAAGAGAATTTGCAGACACGGGGTCAGAGAAATAACAAATTCCATGGCCTCCCCTGGTAGTTTTTAAAGATGCAGAATCTCAGCTCAGTCTTTGCCAGAAACACACCACTGTTGGAAAAACTCTCCCGAGACCCTCTGCCTCTACTAGTAGGAAGACATGGTATTCCTTCTAGGATGTAGTAGCGTCAGCAACATAGTAACTCTTAGATCTCTCCAAGCCTAACAGATGTAAAGGCATCTCCCTTTATGTGAAATGGCTGCAAGAAGGTAGACAGGCTTTCTGAGGAAGATGGATATGACTGCCCTTCAGTGGAGGAGGACAGGGTTAGAGACTACTTGGCCAAACTGGACACCCATAAGTTCATGAGCCCTGATGGGATGCACCTGCAAGTGCTGAGAGAGCTGGTAGATGTTATTGCTGGGACTTTTTTCATCATCTTTGAAAGGCCATGGTGAACAGGAGAGGTGCTGAGGACTGGAAGAAGGTCAGTATCACTCCAGCAAGAAGGACTGTGCTATCATCCAGCATGACCTGGACAGGCTGCAGAGCTGGGCAGAGAGGAACCTCAACAAATGAGGTTCAACAAGGGCAAGTGTAGGGTCCTGCACCTGGGGAGGAAGAACCCCATGCACCAATACAGGTTACAGGGGGACCTGCTGGAAAGCTGCTCTGAGGAGAAGGATCTGGGAGTCCTGGTAGACAGTAAATGATCCATGAGCCAGCAATGTGCCCTTGCTGCCAAAATGATCAATGGAATCCTGGGGTGCATAAGGAAGAGTGTGGCCAGTAGGTCTAGAGAGGTTTTTCTACCCCTCTGCTCTGCCCTGGTGAGGCCACAGCTGGAATACTGCATCCAGTTCTGGGCTCCCCAGTTCAAGAGAGACAGGGAGCTACTGGAGAGAGCCCAGCAGAGAGCAACAAGGATGACTGGGGGATTGGAGCATCTCCCTCATGAGGAAAGGCTGAGAGAGCTGGGACTCTTTAGCCTGGAGAAGAGAAGGCTGAGGGGAGACCTCATCAATGCCTACAAGTATCTAAAGGGTGTGTGCAAGGAGGATGGAGCCAGACTACTTTCAGTAGTTCCCTGTGACAGGACAAGGGGCAACGGGCACAAGCTGGAAGCTCCACTTAAATATGAGGAAGAACTTCTTTACTGACAGAGCACTGGAACAGGCTGCCCAGGGAGGTGGTGGAGTCCCCTTCTCTGGAGATATTCTAGACCCGCCTGGATGCAGTTTTGAGTAATGTGTCCTAGGCAATCCTGCTGTAGCAGGGGAGTTGGACTAGATGATCTCTAGAGGTCCCTTCCAACTCTGACAAATCCATGATTCTGTGATATAATGTGATTCCAAGGCAGCAAGGCAAACAAGACATTTTCTCTCTGAAACTTGTCTTTCTTATTCAAAAAGCTCCTTTTTGAGCACCCGGCTGGGGGCTGGGATCACTGACACGCTCCATCAGGGGATCCTGTGAAGACATGCTCACTGGGAATGGCTGCAGGCTCATATTAGGAAGGAACATAAAGTCTTGGGTGTGTACTGATCCGAAGTTGCATGCACAGAATGGGAGCAAGATGTACCATGTAGCATCAGTAAAGATCTGTCACATTTACATGGGTCTATTACTGTAGTACCTGTACCTAACAAAACCTTCCTCCTTTTAATATAAGGGCACTTATATCCCTGCTTCATAGGTAAGAATTTAAGTACAATGCCATAAAGGGACTCAGTGGCAAAAGGAAATTGAATTAATGGATACCAGG